GGGTAGTCCGTACAACACAACACAACAAACCAGTTGCAACTTCAGGGTCGATAAACCTATCGCTCGTGTAGAAAAGATTGGGGTTCAAATAGTAACCCGCCGCGTGAATCGGGGTGTATAGTACTCCACTCCAAATCTCGTCTATCACTTTCCAAAACCTCGTGTTTTGTGCTTTATTCTTTTTGAACCCTTGTTTAATAGTCTCCTTGGCTTGATCCATCGTTTCGTATATATATCCCATCTGCTCCTTATTACTACTCCCCGTCATCCATTGTATTACGCGCACGAGAGGTATAGCTGCTTTGAGCACATCCGATGCCCCCTTCCAAAAAGATTCTTCACTCACCAAATCATATACTTCTTCCCAACCCTTGTCTGTCAAAAAAATGGGAGATTAAAACATTTTGGTCAATATTTTTTTCTCCAAGACGATATTCTCGAGGGTTAAGAAAGGCTGAAAATGAAGGAAAAAGGAGAAGAAAATCAAGGAAGAAGAAGATGATGATGTTGGTCTGTGTGTGCAAGAGAGAAGAAATAAAATTGAAAAAAAATAGAAATTTGGCTTACAAGTTAGTTTGAATTGAAAAGACGAAAAAACTCATGGACGTAGACATTTGCCTCGCACGTGCGGTGGAATATTCGAATATTCGCCTGAAAATTCGATGTAGGTGGTTAAGTGGCTCGAAATAACTAGTTTGTGCGTGCCGGTGCAATTTTGTTTTTGTTAAGGTGGCTATGTGCAAAAACTAGCAAATGAAAGTACAGTTGGTAAAGTGATATTTACCCTAAAATAATTGCACTTTGTTATAGTGAAAATTCAACAAATCGAATTGAAATTTAAAACAAATTGAATTAAAATTTTGTAAATACGAACCAAAGAATTTCAGATATTATAAATAAAAACATGTGCCAAAATCATAAGTTTCCGGATCAAAATTTCTATTTTCCTGTCACCTATAATATAAAAAAAAAATACATAATAATATTGATGTTCAAAGTGTTCTTTTTTCAAGGCAAAATTTTTGAAACTGTTTTCGTAAATTAAAATTGAATCGTTCGGAGTATAATAAGTATTCATAAGGATGGGTTTGGTAGGGCAACCCTACTAATCAATTATACCATTGAAATTTTTGTTGCGAAATTCATTATTCTCTTTCCAAATTTTTTTTGGTAATATACGATATGGTACTGCTAATTATCAATTTAGCTTGACTAGTGGCATTGTTTATATAATTTGTAAAGCAATTCAAGGCAAAATCGTGGTTTTAATGTCAAAAAAAAAAAAAAAAAAAAAAAAAAAAAAAAAAAAAAAAAAAACGGCATCTTCATGTTTAAAATACACAGAATCCAAGTACTTATGGGCCGATGGCATAAATATTCTTTATTGGAAAATTTGGATTCAAACCCAACTTTAATACAATATTTAAGTGAGTTCCGTTTATCGAAAATGGAAATATAATTTAAATTCACCATCTACGTTTCGAGCAGATGAATCTAATATAGTTAATCTCAAAACTGATTTTGGTTAGATGAAAAATTAATTCATAAAGATAGACACTTAAATAAGATTAATTTATGGGAAATTGGAAGGTGAAAAGTCACTATCCACATTGGAAAAAAGACCTTAACGAGAATACTTTAAATAGTGGACTGTGGATTGCTAATAGAATAATTAATAAAGTGTGATCTTAAGTGCTAAGCCCCATGCAGGCCTCCATTGCCCGCCCGGGCCAAGCTTGGTGCCCCAAGTTGGGCCCAGTTTAAACCCAAAATAAATTAATTTTTGAGGGCATAATTAATTAATCTAAATTTAATATTTTTTAGCAAATCGGAGAGCGACATGTGTCCTTAGGTGACATCATCGTCTAGTCCGCAGACATGAGTGTCCATGCAAACGCCAAGTGGTGCTTGGTCCCTGCAAAATGATGACACGCCTTTTCAGCCCTCTTTCTTTTCTAAAGTTGTGTTTTTTGGACTTAAGTTTTTCAATTCTATAAATAGAGCCCCTGCAGAATTTAAAATCATTCGTTCGAATTCTAAGCATTCTCTGCATACATAAAGCATATTGTTCATCTCCTTCTTCGTGTCTAGAGAGTCCAAGGCTCACGTTTTGTTCATTGTAATTCAACTTTCGTTGTGCTGCAAAATTCGAAACTCTTAAGTCGTTATATTTTGAGGACAATTGGCTAAGAACATAAGAACGTTTACGGGTTAATCTTGTCTTGCGGAGAAATAATCCAATTCTTGACTCGACTTCTTTTTCCGTCCAAAATTTCTGTTTAAAATTCATTTCGAAATATACCAAAAAAATAACATTCTTAATATATGTTATTAGTAATTTACCCTCTACGATGCACGGGCCGTTTGAATATAACAGAAAATATGGTATATTTACAAATATAAATGAATCATGTGTATCTTTAAACCCTAAATTTCAAAATAAATATTTGTTAATTTTGAAATTAATTATTCCAAATATGTATAGAGTATAAACTAATAGTTGTAAATAGTTTTTGCATTAGTAAAATATGATCTATATATCTTGTAATATTTAAGTATATCCGCCTTATTTTCTACTATTTTTTTTTTCGTTTTCGCTCTTTGGTCACTACAAAATTTTGACAAAATAATTGCTTTAAAATTTTCTATATATAAGAACCTTTGTATTATATGCCTATTTGTCCATTTTGAAATACTCTAAGTAAAATATATATCAATTTTATAGTTGCACCTATATGTATTGGGGCCCTATAATAAATATATTAAGTAGAGAAAAAAAGGAGGGTTTCTTAGGAAAATATAAAATTAGAAAATTTATAGAGAAAAAATAATTATTACAAATATGTCATTTAGAGAAAGTGGAATAACAAAATAAAAAATAAAAAATGAAAGACCGTTCCATTGAGTCAAGATAAAATTTATCGAGGAAAAGAGATAAGAAAGAAAACATAAATTATTAGAAACATAGTAAATAAAAATAATTATAAAGATGCACTTAGGTTGCTCTAAAGTTACCCAAGTGTTAGTTACTTTTGAATATAAAGATTAACATACGTAACATAAAATATCTTTAAACTAAATTTTAATTACTTTTGAATATAAAGATTAGCATACGTAACATAAAATATCTTTAAACTATAAATTATAACATAAATTTTTTTAAGATAACGTATATTATCTTTGACGGAATCATTCAAATTATTTTTGACATATCTGAAAAGTTTTATAAATTTGAACTACTATATTCATTGTCCATACAAAATATATTAATAATTAAAATGTGTATATATACGGTAGAAAATTTGGTACAAGAAACATTGGTAGAAATAATTTGATAAATAATTTATATGGTGAACTGTAGGGCAATCGGTTGGGTAAAAATATTCAACCCTAAGTAATTCACTTTCGTTCCAAAAAATCTACATACCATCCAAAATATTGAACCCTAGGAAATCCGGAATTCGGAAAGAAATTTTTTTGTCCTAAAATTGGAAATATCGAAATCGACAGGAATAAAAAATTCGGTTCGAATTTCCCCTCCAAACTTTCACCATATATGTACATACAAATAATAAATAACAATAGTAATCCACTCAAATCGCATTATCCACCATTTGTATAGCATATCTAATAATCCAGAAGAACCTAATCAAAATTCATGTCCAAGAAATTGTGCAATACAACTTCATATTCTATAAAATTTACAAAATCATCACTTTAATTCACGTCTAAAATAAGCTATATTAGCTCATACTATACGCTCCACTTTTGGATGAAAATTCGACGGCCCTCCCGAGTTTATGGCCCCATCATTTGGTCCTTTATGAACTACCCAATCATCCAACGGTTCGATTTCATCGGGTCCCATATACCCCACCTTACCAGATTGAAAATTCTGCAGTTGCATAGTATATTCAACAAAAACAGCATGAGCTAACCTCTTCTTTTCTCTTGGACTAATTCTCGTATCAAGAAGTTTCTCCACCAAAACCCTCTTTAGCTGAAATTTCGATGCACCCTCACATGTTTGGCTCAGTATTCGAAGCGCCAACTTTTTTAGCTCTGGACATTTACCCCCATATTTCAACCACCATTTTGCTGCAATTTAAAAATTAAAAATGATAAATAAATAAAACCAAGAATTAACCACGCTAAATGTCGTTTATATTTTATGATTTCGTTTTCGATTTAAAATGTGATTTTGACCTTTTTTCAGCCTTTAAGTTGGCTTTCTAATCCAACTTAAACTAACTAGATTGAGATTGCATGTCGGGTGCATGTCAAGGGCATGTTGAGTGAATGTCGGGTGCATATGTCAAGTGCATGTCGAGTGAATGTCGGGTGCATGTCGGGTGAATGCCGGGTGCATGTCGGGTGAATGTTGAGTGAATATCGAGTGCATGTTGGGTGCATGTCGAGAAAATTTCAGGTGCGTGTCGGGTGCGTGTCGGGTGCATGTCAAGTGAGAGAGATATGCACATGAATGAAAGTTTGAAGTCATAACGGTATAAATAAAAGCAAAATGACATTTTTAGTTAAACAATTGTAATATATGTAGTTATATATATTAAAACAAAATTAATCGAACCTGGAGAAGTATTTGATCTCTGGTCCCCCGCGCATCCCAAGCCAAACGTGCCCTTTGCATTCTGGTACGCCTCGATCTGTATAGTGACCCGATCCTGGACCCGCGGATCTCCAGTAGTCCGTACAACACAGCACAACAAACCTGTTGCAACTTCTGGGTCGATAAACCTATCGCTTGTGTAGCAAAGATTGGGGTTCAAGTAGTAACCCGCCGCGTGAATCGGGGTGTATAGTACTCCACTCCAAATCTCATCTATCACTTTCCAGAACCTCGTGTATTGTGCTTTATTCTCTTTGAACCCTTGTTTAATAATCTCCTTCGCTTGATCCATTGTTTCGTATATATATCCCATCTGCTCCTTATTATTATTCCCCGTCATCCATTGTATTACGCGCACAAGAGGTATAGCTGCTTAGAGCACATCCGATGCCCCCTTCCAAAAAGATTCATCACTCACCAAATCATATACTTCATCCCAACCCTCGTTTTTCAAAAAAATGGGAGATCGAAACATTTTGGTCAATATTCTTTTCTCCAAGACGATATTCTCGAGGGTTAGGAAAGGCTGCGTTGACTTGATCTTCGAACTCTGCTGAAATAAATCATGACCGTCCGTTTTCTCCTTCAGATACTTGAGCGCGTTAGGGTTTCTGTAAATAAACCTCGTAAATATTTTCGCCTTCTCCATGATTTCTTTGATGACGTCCATTTCCAACAATTTCTCCAGCATGAGTTGAATGCAGAAAGACCCGCTCACCGACCAAAATATTTGTCGGTATTTCTCCGACAATTCATTCGCCACTTCCTTGGTAAAAATAGAATTCGAGGATGTAATAACTTGAACCACATTCTCAACCCCAACTTCACTCAAGACTTTTTCGAATAACATTTTCATTTTGTCAATTTTTCCAATATAATCGGAAATATCGTATGTGCTGAGATAAACGGTTCCTCTCGGGGAGTCAACTAAAACATTGACGAAATCCCTTCCCGTTTCACCTTTCCATTCATCGAGCAAGATAGTGCATCCTGTGTGCGCCCACGAATTTCTAGCGTCGTCGATATATTTAGTCACTTCTTTTAATGCATGTTCAAATAACGGCCCTTTTAGCTCCTCGAGAGTGGGGATGTGGCACTTTCTGGGACCCATCATGTTATGGAAACTTGGCGAACTTACTGAATTGAAATCGAGCCCGTTTTCGAAGAAGAATCTTGCAATATCCTCTTTGATTTTCTTTATCGATGGATCAACTTCTGTGGTTGAATTTGTGGATGATTATTATTATCAGGCTGGTTTGAGATGGAAGATGATTCGATCCCAACGTTGTTTTCGGATGATATATTTGTTTGAGTGAGCTCTGTCTTGACCTTATAAGTTGTTATTTTGTCGGGGAATAAATTGTTCCTCTTCATTTTGGACAGGTAAATTGGATTGTATGTATGTAGCTCCGATATACCTGTTAACATAATAGAAGAATACTAGTCAAAATCATTATATAAATATATATTCGAATTTCAAGACAACATAATAAGATTAGTTAAGATAAAATTAAGTACACTAATAAAAATGCAATAGTATTATTTGACCACGAGGACAATATAAACTATGATAAAATAATATTTATGGGTTTAGCTACTCTAAAAATTATTTAGTTAATATTAAGTGAATCATGGATAATCTCTCCAAACGAGACCTTAATTACAGAACTAATTTCAATGGCAAAAGAGTATTATGGCAACATCCTTACCGAGTAGATAGATATGTTATTTACTTTATCTGTAAAAAAATTCAATCATCTCTCTATACAAAAACGAAAAATGGAAAGGGAACCGCAATTTAAAAAAAAAAAATACTAAGTATTATATTTTCTTTACAATAAGTAACTAATTTTGAAATTAGAGTAGAAAAATATTCAAAATATTTCGCCAGCCGTTTAATTTTTTTAAATGTCGTTTAATGTATATGCAATAATCATAATAAAAGACATTCATTCTAATAGAAAATCCCAAAACTACCATTTACACATATTAAGAAATGATCTTTTTTTCTCCACGTAAATCCTCATAAATGATAAATGACAAAATATATAAAATGAAAATAACTCAGCCTTGAAAGTCTAAGGTGACAACTGACACGTAATATGGAAAAATGTTTTATGGCTAAAGAGAATTAAAAAGAAAACAATGTAAGTACTACAACTCCAATAAATCTTATTCCAACAATCTCTTTAAAAAGGCAAAAAAGGTCCGAAAATGCAGAAAATACAAATATAGGGGCAAAAAGACAAATTCCAAAAATATATCTCTATTTTGAAGACAAATCCTAAACTTGTGGGACTAATTTGCAAAATCGAAACCCTAGTAGGTTTTCATTCTCGAAAACTCGCCGCTTCGAAAACTAATTAAAAGTATCCGCCGCTTCGAAACATAAAAGTATCCGCCGCACAACTATTTGTCGTTTCCGCCACCACCAAAAACACACACACTCACACACATTTCCAATCTAAAACATTTAAGATCGGTAATTTTCATTCCAGCAACTATAACGGATTTTCATTCCAGCAACTATAACGGAATTCCGGCGAACCATGATCACATATAAATAATGCATTCCAAATTTAAATTCCCCTAGATAGTAAAAGTAAAAAAAAATTAATAAAAACAAATCTAATTCCATCATATATAAGATGTATAGTGTATCTCCATATATGTTTCGATCGAACATTTATCATCCCGAAAACTCTACGCTGGTTGTGCGGTACCACATCGGTCGTTTCGGACCTCAATTAAACATCAAATTTACCTTAAACTCTCATGAAAAACACCTAAAAAAGAATGTAATAATTTCTTGAAAATTGAAAAGGAAAAATAAAAGTCTAAAAATTGACCCAAGAGACAAATCAAAGAAAATAACAGTCAACAAGAAACGATAAATGAAATGTAAAAAAGATTAAAAGAAAGCTTACCGTCTAATTTAGCCTTCGCATGCAAAAGTGCAACCGCTCTCTCTTATGCTTTTGGAATGTAATAATGAGAATAATGAGAGAAATTTTCTAGTTAAATAATAATGTGTATGGCCAAGGATCAGACTTTATTAATGAGCTACGTACGCAGGCAAATCCATCTGACGCGTGGGTGTTTAGTTGTTCCTTTTTCGTGTATGAAATGGCCGGGTCGGGTTATGAACCACCCGGTTTGATTTACGGGTCTGAATTATCCGATCATAGTTCAAATAAATTTTCCAAAACATGCACGTGATAATTTTTAGATTTTCCAATTTCAACTTTAGATTTTTTGTTTTTTTTATTTGGTTAAAAAAAAGGCCATTACAACTAAGCTCTTGTGACTTATTTCAATACAGGTCACCTCTACATCTCTTTTACAAAAAGGATAAATTAGACTCACACCCCAGAGGTATGCTTAAATAATTTTAAGGTCCCTATGGTATCAGTAATTACAGTCACCCCCTGAAACGTAGTTAGAAACTCTAACGGGATAATGCATTGGATACATTATTTCGATAGGGTTCTAATGGACTATTACTTTTAGCTAGCGGTGGAGATAACATAGAGTTATGGGGAGTAATGGGGTGACATGGCTCCCCCAATATTTCTTAAATCACCCATAAGTCTTTGTTGTCCCCACCACTTCCTGAAACCAATAGTCCGTTAGAACTCTATCATAATAACGTATCCCCCATTATCCCATTAGAGTTTATAACTACGATTCAAGGGGGTGAATGTAATTATCGATACCACAAGGACCTTAAAGTTATTTAAGCATACCTCATGGGTGTGGGAGTAATTTACCCTTACAAAAAATTCTAGACAAAGTCTAGAAGTGTGTAAAAAACTTAAATAAGGCCTAAAATCTTAATATACTCTTATTTCACTCATTTGACCCTAATTTCACCAAGTATTCATTTTGACCCCTGGTCCAATTTTGATTCTAATTTTGTCCGTCGCCGCCATTGACCGTCTGTCAGCAACCGTTTCCCGCCAGTTGGTTGACTTTATTTTAATATTTATAACTTTGAGCGACACTAGTAGTATAAAATGTAGGATAAATAGCATTTTGCCATATGTATTTTACCCGATTTTGAACATTGTCACCTTAACAAAAAATAAATTGCACGGGCACGCCCAAACTCGGTATTTCGAGCCACTTAACCACCTATGTCGAATTTTCAGGCGAATATTCCAGCGTACGCGCCCGGCACATGGCTACGTCCATGGGTTTTCTTGTCTTGTCATCTTAGGATATCATATGTGGGTGAAATTAAAAGTTCTAATGAGTCAATTGAACTTAACTGAAACTTAAGGACGGAAACTTAATTTGAAACTTACCCAAACTAGAAATTAATTGGAATGAAGCTTGGATTCTTCTTCTTGTCTTCCATGGCAGTTTCTTCCCTACTAATTTTCTTTGAACTAACAGTATCTTTGGAGAAAATTGAAGCCTTAATAAAGAAGAGTAACCTCTGCTCTTATGCAGCAAAATTTTTGGAGACAAATAGAAATGGCCTTTTGCAATAAGATAAAGAAAGAAGGGGCCGGCGGGAGGCCATAAGCGGTGAGGCGGCTACGGCAGAGCAAAGATAAAAAAGTCCATCATTCTACGACTAGAAGAAGATAAGTTTGGTTTTCATCACATCATGACTACATGAATGGTTTTCAGTTTTGACTGATGAATTTCTTTACCCTCTCCATTTTATGAATCCTCATTTAGAAGTTTCAACATCGATCTTTTTTTTTACCAAGACTACTTTTTAAGAAAAATCCATTTATCAATCAATTCTTCAGTTTTCACTCTGATTTTGCATGGAAATTAATTGCAACCCTTAAAGAAATACGTCCGAGTACAAAAACTTAAACCCAATATCAAACATCAACATTTATTATTTTGAAACCTACTCAAAACTTAAAAACCGGAGAAAAGTCTCATGCGTAATGCAAGAACATAGCACAAGATTAGCAATAGATAAGACGAACTAATCTGTAGGTGTGAGCAACAAATTCTTCACAGTAGAAGATTACTCACACTCAACATCAATACAATTAGTTTCTCTAAAATGACGAAGCAGATATTGGGATGTGCAACTAGAGAAACGTTGAAAATGACTGGTTGAGAAAGATTAGAAATGAAAATGAACAAAAAACTAGATGATGATGTTGATGTTGGTCTCTATGTGCAAGAAAGAAGAAATGAAATTGAAAAAAAAATAGAAATTAGGCTTACAAGTTAGTTTGAATTGAAAGACTAAAAAACCCATGGATGTAGCCATGTGCCTCGCACGTGCGATGGAAAATTCGAATATTCGCCTGAAAATTTGACTCAGGTGGTTAAGTGGCTCGAAATAACTAGTTTGTGTGAGTCAGTGCAATTTTGTTTTTGTTAAGGTGGCTATGTGAAAAAACTAGGAAAGTACAGTTGGTAAAGTCAATGTTTTGAAACCCGGACCGGACCGGCCGGTCCGACCGGTTCAACCGCGAACCGCCGCCGTGTCCGGTCCGGTTACATGTAAAAACCCAAAAAGTTCAAAAACCCGGGTCAATTATCAAAAACCCGGTTCGACCGGTAAGAATTGGGAAACCCGGAAACCAGTCCGAGAACCGGGTTTTAGCTCGAAATGGCCGGATCTGCATAGATGGTAGTCTTAAGTGACTGAATCTTGTCGGAGATGGTTGGGGGTGAACGGATCTGACAGATCTGGGTCGAATGTGACCCAATCGAAGGTGGTGGTTGCCATATATAGAAGAAAAAATATACCGGAGAAGAATGAAGGAAGAAGAAAAGAAAAAAGAAGAAAAGAAGAAAGGAAGAATTAGATAATGGGATGTGAGGCTCTGTGAAAATAGACTAGAAAGTAGCAGAGAGAGGAAAGAAAGAGGTAGAGAGAAGAAAGAGAGAGGGGAGATGAGAGAGAGAGGGGATAGAGGATAAAATGATTGATTTATTTTATTTTATTTTCTTAAAAAATATTGACTAAGCTCGGATGATTCACTAAAGTGGGAAAAAAATATAAAAAAATATTATATTTTAGGTATTAAATTAATAAAATAATTAGATTAAAAAAAAAGTAAAAAATCCGGTTGGACCCCGCTTGAAACGGTCCAACCATGACCCAGTTACTTGTCCGGTTCGATGTCC